CCACGAAGAAGATGGAGATGCACCTGAGGACACAGAGAGCAGCTCATCACTTATTGATCAGTGATCAGTGAACCAGAGCCAGACATGATGGTGAGTCATGTGATTAACGGCTGCAGGTATGTAACTGATTGTAACTGGTTAGAGTGGGAGACCTGGGACCACAGTCCACCTGAGGGTCTTGCTCAGAGTCCGGTTCCATCTGGTCTCAGTAAAGACTAGATCAATCATGACTCTAATCTTTAATGAGGAAGCTACTTGTTGTTGTTGTTTAATGTCCCAGTAAGAATCAGGCTCGTGGGCTGTAATATAATAATAATAATAATAATAATAATAATAATAATGATAATAATAATAATAATAATAATGATAATAATAATAATAATATAAAGTGTAGCTGTGTATTCATGTCGCTCGTCTCCTCTTGTGTCTCTGTGTGTGCTCCTGAACGCACCGCTCAGCAACACGTTACACCCCTCTGAGCTGGGGGGGTGGGGGGGGCAGGTGTTTGCTCAGGTGTCACAGTCTCACAGTGAGACCTTCAGAGCTCCACTCTGTGACAGCTGCTGGATCAACACAGTGACGGAGGTCAGACAGTTCACTCTGTCTCTTGGAGGACACGTCCAGTTTGAGTGGACTGTCCCTTCACACAGAGAGACACTAACATGCTAACGGTTTCCCTCTGCTCCCAGTCTTTATGCTAAGCTAAGCTAGCTGCAGCTTCATATTCACAGACATCAGAGTGGGATCATCTGACAGCTGATCAGAAGAAATGAGAGCTTTTAATGATCATCCATTAATGTCTGGAAGAAATGAGTCTTTGTCAGGGAATAATAAACCATCAATCATAAACTGATCACCCTGATCACTTTCATTATTGATCAGCTTTAAATGAAATATAACAATATATTATAATGTTTTATCATATACTGGAGGAGAAGTTCTTCAACTGAGGAGAGCAAGTTGTTGACTGTCAGCTGAAAGACAACCTGTATGTGTGTGTGTGTGTGCGTGTGCGTGTGCGTGTGTGTGGTGTTGACAGAAACAGACGTCCGCTCTTGTCTTCACGTCAGTAAAACAAGCTGCAGTTTATTAATGGACAGTGAGATGGAGCTGTTGTTGTTGTTGTTGTTGTTGTGTAGTTGAAGTTAACACAACAGTCATTACAGAGAAATGTCGTCCTGCAGGTTTTTAATCTTTCATCAGTGGATTGTTTTTCTGAGGACGAAGACCTGCAAACCTGTCTGACCTTTTTATACAACACACACACACACACAAAAATCACTGTTGGCATGCTAATGTTTGCATTTAGCTCAGAGTGTGTGTGTGTGTGTGTGTGTGTGTGTGTGTGTGTGTGTGTGTGTGTGTGTGTGTGTGTGTGTGTGTGTGTGTGTGTGTGTTACCTGGTCACTGCTCGTGTGCAGACCGTCACCATGAAGCAGCAGCCGACGATCACCCAGCCCCAGCCACCGTCCGGAGGAGATGCCCTGCCGCTCTGCCGCTTCCCATCAACCATTGCTGCAGCTGCAGACTGAGCTGGGCTCCCCAAGCTGGTCCAGCTGCTGGTCCAGGTGTTGGTCCAGGTGTTGGTCCCGAGGTGGTCCTGAGTTAATGAGTTTGTCTTACTGAGTCAGTCACTGAGACAGTGGAGACAGTGGAGACACAGTAGAGACAGTGGAGACAGTGGAGACAGTGGAGACAGTGGAGACAGTAGAGTCTGACTGCCTCCCTCTGTCTCTGAACCTGGAGTCAATGAGTGACCAGCTGAGATATTGTGTGATGAGATATTAACCAAGCGCTCCCAGATCCACAGGAGTGTTTGATTTAAAGCCATTTGTCCTCTGATGTCTCAGTCTTCTGCTCAGGCGTCAACAACATGTGCAGCCCTGACAGGGAGTGCTTCATTCGGTGCACCCGACACCCCTGCCCCCAGGTAGGAGAGGCCTGCATCAGGTGTCAGGTGTCAGAAAAGAAGCGCACCCAGACACACGGGTCTAACTGGACTGTATTTATGTCCACAGCTCCCAGAATGTTTGTGTTTATTTATGTCCTGAGGTGTTTACTGCTGGAGGGACAGCGGGGTCACAGAGAGGACCAAGACCAGGACCAAGACCAGGACCAGGACCAGGACCAAGACCAGGAGGTCTCTCACTGAAACTGTGGCACTGGTCAGGAACCAGTGGCTTCAGGATGAAAAGTAAACAGCTGATCTACACACACCTGAGATATCCGAGTCCACCTGCGACATCTGAACACACCAGAAAACGTCCACACACACCTGAGATTCTTGACACACCTGACCAACACAGCAGAGGCACCTAAACAGTAGACACACCTGACCTACCTGAGTCATCAAGGAGGACAAATCTCTCTTTATACAGTATCACTTCAGACCACCTTAAACAACCTCCGACCACCTTAAACAACCTCAGACCACCTTAAACAACGCCAGACCACCTTAAAAAACGCCAGACCACCTTAAACAAGCCCAGGGCTCCAGCTGATGCCTCAGTAATAAAAGAAAGTTAAAATCTGTGACGTCAGTGACGTCAGTGATTCAATATAATGGACTTGAACTCATGACGCGTCTCCGTCAGTTTGAATGAAGCTTCATTGGATCAGAATCAGAATATTTAAATGTCACTTCATCATCTCAGGATCAAGTTTCCTTCAAACTAAATTCTGATCATTAATAAATCGAATCATAACCACAGTTATTGATCATCACAATAACTGCACTGTTCCATATTCTGATTATTTGTGATCATTTGTATTTCATTTTTACCTCTGTATAAAAACAGCTGCAGCTGTTGGAGATGAGGGATGGAAAGTGATCAGTTATTGATCGGTACGTATCGATTATTTCTTACCGAGCTTCTGAACCTGAACCGTTTCCTCCGGTTTAAAGAAACTCAATCAGTTTTTCTTCTGCAGATGTTTCAGCTGTGGAAGTCGCGCGGGGTCTGAAACTCCTCTCTCTCTCTCTCTCTCTCTCTCTCTCTCTCTCTCTCTCTCTCTCTCTCTCTCTGTCTCTCTGTCCTATCGATCGGTGGGATCAGTTATCGATCAGTTATTGGCAGTTTCAGGTGTCGCTGTGAAACTTGTGGTCGGCCTTCATCCTCTGAAACATGAGGCTGAACCCTCGCGGAACTCCGCTCTCCTCTTCTTCCTCCCCCGCTCTATGTTTCTCCCTCCCTCCCTCTCTCCCTCCCTCTCTCTCTCTCTCTCTCTCTCTCTCTCACTGAAAGTTAAAGGGTTAAAAACGGACCCAGTTCCGGGTCAGTCTGGTCTGGACTGATCCAGAACCAGCTGGAGTCTGTCAGAACAGTCACACTCAGGAGAATAAATCAGATATTATCATTGGAAACGTTTAATGCTTAATAAATAACCTTTAACACACCATGATATCATATATGAAGGACGACAAGAATCAATCAATCAATCAATCAATCAATGCCAGAATAAGTAATTAAGTACATAAATAAATGAAAAATAAAAACATTTTGGTGATAAAATTGTATTTACTTTTACGTTTATTTATTTATTTATACTTTATACTCATTTTGCGTCCATGATAATAATATAGGCTACTGATCAATAATATTATACACATTGTTGTTGACGTGTGATCAGACTCATCAGTGCAATATAGAAACAGACAAAATAATAAAACAGCTGGAATAACATCAAATATTATTATTTATTGTTATGATGTACTGTTCTACTAGCAGTAGCAGTACTGTAGTATGCAGTATTTTAGTAGTGGCAGTAGAGGTAGTAGTATTGATGGCAGTAGCAGAGGTAGTACTGTTACTGTACTGTACTGTTCATGACCAACGTATCCCATGATTCATTGCTCTCTGGTAACAACTGAGGATCACACTGTTAACGTCAGTATTGTGTTTCAGCTCAGGTCAACTGCTAAAACCAAGAGACGCTAAACAAAGTTTCTGTGAGAAAAAGTTGTGTGTTGTCCAGGTTGCTAGGCGACAGGAGACGCACTTTGCAACACAACGGTAAGGGCGGGAACAGTGTGCTGGGATCGGCTGACTTCACCTGAACCTAAGAGTTCATTTGACCCCCTCCCTCGGTGTGGACACAAAGACTGACTGGAGGACGCTGTGACTGTCCTCTGAAGCTCAATAACGTTTAACTCAACAGGAAGTGACCAAGCAGCACGCCATCATCAACTCAGGATTCAGCTTTATTGATTCATTCCAACAGGTTAAAGTTACAGCTCCATAAAGGTGAGCAATATCTCACAACAGAACACAATGAAGAAATGGACTTTGGGTCTGGGTCTGTCTTGGTCTGGTTCTGGTTCTGTATGGGTCTGGGTCTGGGTCTCAAAAGATGCGATCAGAAGAACCTGCAGTGTCCTGAGTGGTACAGTGACTTTAGGGAGAAAAACATCACACAATAAAACAGATGTAGAGATGACTCAGATAAGGTAGTGCCAGACTCATTTCTACATGACAGGGTTTTGGTTTCGCTGGTCAACGTGACGGCGGTCACTGATCAACAGCTGGAGCATCAGTTCCCTGAGTTGGCCAGAAAAAGGCTGATGATTTTTACAAATTTCATTGTTTTTCAAGAGAAATAAACTCCAGCTGATGTCGAAGTAAATTCCAGTGACAACCAAATAAAGTTTGTCTCCTTAAAAAATAACAATAAAAACAAGGGTAAATACTCAGTGAAAGAATCGACAATCCAATTACTTATTTTTCTACCACAACAAACAACAATAAACTGATCCCCATAAACATTTAAAGTAGCCACCTCAAAGATTTTTTATTAAATAAGTTTCTTTTAAGTTACTCTCTATCACTGAATAAGATAACACAAAGTTATTGACGTGCTCCATCACCCAGAAACAAACCTGTAATTACCAGGTATGGCCATAGGTGTCGCCAAAGATGAAGAAACTGATCTTTGAGGCTGCAACTTTAAAAAACAGAAAAATGAACAATTCTAATGGAACCCAATACCTGATCATCAATAGTTATATTAATAGATAAGAATGTTAAGTATGAAGCAGTACCATACTTTTAATAAACCATTTTCCCCCATGAACAGTTACACTACATGCATCATCAGATTATACAGTATCTTCTCTGGACGTCTATAATGTGATCTGTGTTACCATGGAGCCGTTACACAACAACACAACAAAGATAATCTGTAAACAGACACAACAAATATTCACAACCAAAGACTTCACTCTAACATTAATACAACAGAGACTTAAAGTGGTTATGCTCCATATTTTTAAAACAATATATGAAAGTTTTTTAGTTTCAAAAACAACTAGAAGATCATGTTGCTCTGAAACTGCTGGACGTGGAAGTAAACAGCTGTTTCACCTTAAAAGGTCGTGATATGTTAGTGTTGTGATCAAGACTTGATTCTGTTGAAAGCTAATGGATATTGTGATTGTCTTGTTCATGATCATAGAGGGGTTTGTATGAAATGTCCTCGTTATAAAACAAGTTTTACAACAGTGTTAAAATCACAGATAATGAATAGAGAAGCACAATTGTTTAAATCGTTAGAATTTCATTATGTTGCCTTGAAAATAAAAACATCTACATCTAGGAGAATAAAAAGAAATCCCTGGAACAGCTGTTTAAAACAAACTGCAGAATGACTCTGAGTCTCACAGATCTGCACACAGGGCAGCGTAGTTGGATGTGTTGTAAATGTAGAACCCTGGGTGAAGAGGCTGAATGAACTGGGCCTTGAAGGAGTAGAGGTGACTCAGAGTGTTATGAGTGATGTTGTAAAAGCTCAGGGAACCAGCACAACAATCTAGAAACACTCCAACTCGTCTGCATCCAGTAGGGGGGAGATCTTTGGACCACACATGACCATTATGCCATGCTTCAAACTTGTCCTTCACACCAAAATACCAAGATAAGCTGTTGCTTCCAAGCCCTGTGTCTGCACCTTTTCCTTTCCTTTCAATTTCCCCGTATGTAACACCCACACCAACCTCGTTATTACAACCCTCACTCCACTCCACCTCCCAGTAATGCTGCCCAGTGAGCCCCTCCCTGCACAAAACCTGAGGCCGCGTATCGAACCTCTGGCGGCGATCAGGATACGTCTGCCACGTTCCACAGGTCGCCTTCTTGTTTCCCTCTGACAGACTGAGGTAGCCACTTGCTGTGTCTGGGTCCAGGTTGAGATCACAGGCGTCTGATGGAGAGAATAAGACATTGACTGTTACCAGTCATCCTCATCACCATCCACTCCAGTTTATAACAGCAGTTCACATGTAATCCTTCACTATCTAATACGTCATACAGAATAAGATCAAGATATTTTTATCTATAAATCTGCTGTGGTCCTCTCTTAAACACACCTCAGGGCAATGTGACTGTTTGGTTCAGGGTTTCTGAGCTATAGTGATTTATTATTGTAAACATATTAAGTTTCACCAGCATGTTGCGAAGTAGAGAGTGTGAGCACTCCTCTCAGCAGTTTGTACCAAACACATGCAAGAACTGACTTACACCAGAGTAAATCTCGTCTGTCTGTTACAGTCTTCACGTCAGGGACAGCAGGCTTTGAGAAATCCTCAGTGACCAGCATGCCATTCCTGTAATGGTAGATCGTTGCTCCTTTATATTTCTCATTTGGTACAACAGCTACAAGGAACCTGAATCTGCTGCTGCTCTTCAGGGCTTTGGCAAGGCCATGGAAATATGAGGCTTTCTCTCTCATTTTGTTCAACACTTCCTGTGAGAAGTGCCACCGGTCTTGTGTTTGTGGGGGGATACTCCCGACACATTGTGGGTCATGTGAATGCAGGTAGTCGGACATCTGGACCAGGTAGGGTTCAGCAGTTTCCAGGGAGGTGAAGACAAAGCAGAGCACATCATCCACATGTCGATCAAAAACCTCTCTGTCCAGCTCTGACTTATTTTGGATGATCTTTATTTCCTCCAACTCCACACAGGATCTGATGACGTTGATTTTTCTCTCCTCATTATTCAGCCACTTGCTTAAGTTTTCATGACTGAACGGTGACTTCTCCTTGTTGTCAAAGAGCTTTTCCACCGAACTGTCGACTTCATTACCTGCACGAATGGATGGAAACTTCTCTTTCATGGTCTTTCGGAGTTTTGTTGTGTAATCATCACACACGTCTTTGAAATTGCTCAACTTTTTGGTAATCTGTGGAAAACTCTTGACCACTTCGTCTTCCAGGGAATCATTGCATCTCACTTGTATTTCCATCATACTTTCTAGAGCATTTTCAACTTTCCTCAGAAGACCAACGCAGATCTCTCTCTTCAGCTCGGATGCTGAGGAGACCAGTTTCTTCAGTGGTGTCAGCCAGACCTTGACGGGAACAGTTTTCTCTCCGTTTTCTCCCAGCAGCTTTGGAAGTTGTTGGTACGTCTTCACTGCATCTTCAAAAGTCACAGGGTTGCTTTCGAGAATGAAGTCTCCGTAGAATTTGCAGGAGAATTTCTCAGTCAGGGCTTTTTCTTCATCACTCAGCTTGATCTCAACTTTCCCCTCAAAAGTAAATGAGGGTATCTTCTTTACCATTGCCTCCATGCTGCCCTGGATGTTCTGGACGTCGCTGGCGTCCAACTTCTTGCTGTCAAACACAAAGAAAGCGTTTGCCCCGTAGAGGATGCCGGTGACTACGTGTGTTGCAGAACAATTCTCATGAACTTCTTTTTCTTGCATGTTCTTGGCTTCAGGATGAGTCATTGTCAGCTGCTCAAACACGGTGGTAGCTTTGTACTGAAATGTCACCCTGCTCTGCTTGTTGGATTTCTTCTTATCATTCAGATAACTGGCAGATCCTCCAACTTCAACCAGTCCACTCAGGAAACTGGCTTTGAGAGAGGCTTCAACATCCAGGAGGGAAGCCTTGGATTCGAAGGAGTCTGATGCAGTAATTTCATACGCACTGGTCTGCTGGAGGTGCTTCTTACTGTTCTCTTGAAGAGTTTTTTTATCCCACTGTGGGAAAGCTGTAGAAAAAAATATAGCAACATCAGTCGGTTAGAAAATTAAAGTTTTCATAAAAGGTGTCATTTGATTTAACATTTCATATTTCTGCCCACTGGGGGGCAGAGGAGGTCCACAACAAGCTGAGAACAGAAGAGCTGACATGTCACCAACTGTGATGGAAAACCTGTTCACAAAGCAATCTAGCATCGCCTATGAATATCTCATTTGTTTTGTGAATTGTAAAATGTCTGAGATATCTGACCTTATTACAGATTATTATCAGACAAGTTAAAGTCATGAAATTTCAGACATGCAATTATATAGTTACTTCTCTTTCATGTCTGGTAAGTGAACATCACGTACAAGCTTGGAATAAACTCAAATTGGTCCTGTACTCATACAGCTTGATAGTTAAATTATATTTCAATTTTCAGATGAATCTATTTATATTCATTTCTACAGATGATGTCAAAAGCTGTAAGTTAAGACACAAAAGACAAACATGAATAACCCTATCTATGATGATTCTTAGGTCATTTGATTTGAAGCTGTTCTGTCTCATTGACAATGGCACAACAGCACCACGGCTGAAAAAAGCACTGGCTCAGTGTGCAGCACTAAAGGTCTTCCTCCACCCTACGTATATTTCAAAGTGTTTCAAAGCCCAGACATGTGCCATTGCCTGCTTTTCAATAACTGAATAATTAAACTGGTGTGAGTTGAACTTTTTAGAAAACAAACTCACCAAGCATTCAACACCATTTTCAATTGTCTGCATGAGCATCGCATGCAAGAAATTATTACCGGTTGTCTTGTTCCTCAAGTCGTTGTGTTTTTATGATGTGAACTTGTTACGCTTGCTTTTTTTCCGCTGTAATGTCAGTAATGTGAATCTCATTTTACCTGTGATCAGTTGATCTTTCTGAGCATCGTACAGCATGCCTAAGGTGAAAGGTCGACCCAGGGCAGCCACCACCATCTGATCTGAGGCCATGTCTCCAACCTGAGGGGATGAAAAAACATGTTGAAGCAACACCAAACTGACTTTAAACTGTCAGAAGTAGTACAGGCGTCTCTCCTTGGACACACCTGTCCTCTGTCAAACCAACAAATAGAAGAGCATCACGAGACAGGTGGAAAACTTAAATAATGTGACACTTTACAAACGATAGCGTGACTGCTACAAAAGCCCATGTGTCTCTGTCTCTGTCCAGCCAGGACGTCCTCACCTGGTGAAGGTGTGTAGATCAGCTGACTTGTCTGACGGTCTTCTCGACTTCTAACCGGAGCTTCCAGTCTGATGCCCTGTAATGTCACACACATTTATATCCTGTTAAATGACTCCTCCCACAACACACACCCAGCACACCTTTGCTTTTTTTTTTCATAGCTTCAGTGTCCAGTTTATTAGATACATCTCTCACAAACGAATGCTGTCTGAAACAACACTCACTTGGAAGTGTCTCTTCATTTGTTTTTAGGGCTTTGCTATCCTGGTCATGTTTCATATCTGATGTGATGACAGCTCTCTGTCTGTGAGGATGTTGACTACCTTGCATGCAGGTATGTAAAACAGAAACCTCTATCTACTGTTGACGGCGTCTTCAGCCTCTTTTCACAGCATTTTAAAGCTGCCTGTTTATTTGAGATACCAGAGATGAATAACACCTTGTTTTAGACGATGTCATTCGCAGTGTTTCCTGTCATAGTTTACTGACTTCATACCAAAGATGTACATGAGTTCAGCAGAGTCGACTGCTGCTCTTCCTAAATGGAGAAATCTCCGTGTGTCTGTCCTTCGGTTTTCTCCACGACCGCTCATCCAGTGAACCTCAGACTTGGCAGGTGAAAAATGAAGGACAGGAGGGAAAGAAAAAAGCAGCATTTCCACAGAAATAGGTTGGTATTCCACCCTATTTTTATGGAAAAGAACACTTGGCTCCTTCCAGTTCTACTGACAATAAACAAAACAGTTCTATAATTTCATTCGTCTGACATCATGTGCAGCTGCCAGTTCCTTAGTGTCTGAATACCTCGACACTTTTAAACTTCATTTTATTCATATTCTCCTGCATCATATACAACTGAGCTGTCCAGACACTGTACTGAATCAAACAGTCTAAACCAACATGGATAAGTTTCCCACCTTCACCTTCATCATCAGAAACCCACGGTCGTCATGGAGATGGGACCTGGACATGTCACAGTGATGATCCTGTCCACACATGTAAAGAGTGAAATGCAAATTGAGCTGTTATCTGTTGGTTCTTTGGAATCAGCTGAGCCTGGCTCGTGGTACATTCACTGACACTCACAGCTTCATGTTCATTTTCTCCTCATGGCAGATGTAAAGGTTTCGTGGTGGGATGGCCATCGCTGTACTGAGGACGGCGGCTGAGACGAACAACCAGCGGGAAGAAATGCTGCGTCCAAACTTTGGCAGAACTCTGTGGTACGTGACACACAGCTGTATTTACAGAGAGAGAAACATGGATTCCCCGTCACCCCACAACCACGGCAAACACAAACTGCCCCCCCCCCAGTATATAAAGACCCCAACATTAACCATTACAATCACCTCCTTGTGGTCATCAGACTAGCTCTAGGTCACATCCTGTTTATCCAGAGCCACAGAAGATGTAACATTTTGTCATAATTGCTGTGAAGACATGAGTAATGGCTAAAAAGTGTTTTCTGAGGTCACATTGAGGTTGACCTTTGACCTTTGACTGCCAAAATCTAATGTGTTCATCCTTGAGTTCCAGTGGACATTTATGCCAAGTGTGAAAGGATTCCCTTGAGGAGTTCCCGAGATATCGCGTTCCTAAGGCCGAAACCGTGTTTTTTCGAGGTCACCGTGACCTTGACCTTTGACCTTTGACCACCAAAAGCTAGTCACTTTGTCTTTGAGTCTCAGTGAATGTTTGTGCCAAATTTTAAGAAGTTCCGTCAAAGTGTTTCTGAGATATACAGACAACCCAAAAACAAAATGGCTGCCGCTCTGACTGACTCTACGACAAGGGTTGCACACACACACACACACACACACACACACATACACAGTCCACTTGGGCCATAGCCCTCATCAACAACAGTCACACCTCCAGGAAGTGACCTCGGAGAGAGATCTGAGAGAAAAACACCTGGAAATGAATCTAACATGATGCATCGATCAGCTACATAGGATCCATCTTTAGCTAATCAATACATTCAAGAATCACTAAACTAATAATTGAACTCGCTGTAGGGGGGGGGGCTGCAGTTCTGAGATCAAACAGGTATTTCATGGTTGAAGGTGAAGCTGTTGAACATGTGGAGAGCGAGTCAGTAGATTTGATGTTTCAGAGTGACACAAGCTGCAGGTGAAGGTGTAGATCTCAGTCTGAGGTGTGACACGACGCGTCTCGGGTTTTTACATGGAGTCTTCTTCTGCTTCTCTTCCCTGCAGAAAGTGTCTCTTCATTTGTTTTTAGGGCTTTGCTATCCTGGTCATGTTTCATATCTGATGTGATGACAGCTCTCTGTCTGTGAGGATGTTGACTACCTTGCATGCAGGTATGTAAAACAGAAACCTCTATCTACTGTTGACGGCGTCTTCAGCCTCTTTTCACAGCATTTTAAAGCTGCCTGTTTATTTGAGATACCAGAGATGAATAACACCTTGTTTTAGACGATGTCATTCGCAGTGTTTCCTGTCATAGTTTACTGACTTCATACCAAAGATGTACATGAGTTCAGCAGAGTCGACTGCTGCTCTTCCTAAATGGAGAAATCTCCGTGTGTCTGTCCCACATTTGACAACGTGACCGTACGTTCGTGCGTTCGTACGTTCGTACGTTCTCACAGCTCTTTTTATTTTAATGAAAACGATCGAACGTTCAGGACTGAACTGAAAACAGGGGAAACTCTCCTTCTGTCTCTTCACTCTTTCCTTTTAACTCTTCCAGCTCTCCACTTTGGTTCTCCAGTTTCTGCCATGATGTGATCTGTCACACAGTCACACTGAGACAGGAAACAGGTGTATGATGTGGACGGGCCGGCGACAACATCAAGTGTCTTTGAATTATCGCATTTGTTTTCATTATATTTGGATAAAAATCTTTTATAATTACATCTTTTCATCAACATTGTTCTGTTAATGATTTGTCGGCCCACTTGTAAAACCTCCAGGTGGGGAACCACTGCTCTACATGACATGTCAGTTAACTGGGAAGCTTCGCCACCTGTGCACAAACACAACAGTCTGATCACAGTGTGGACGGATTCATTGTGACTTTATTACCTAATATAAAATCTGTTTTAATCACCAATCAGAATCCATCTATCTATAATCAGGTGGTAACCTTTGGAGTCCTCTTCACTCTGGGCTGTTTATCAGTTTAGATAACGGCTGAACTGCTGTAAAACACACCTCAGATCAGACTCCGTCAACACACACACTTTCTCTCACACAGGCTGAAGGTGAGTACCGTCTTGTTTAAGTGTCGTCTTAATGCAGGTTCTGTTCAGGTCCGGTCTGTGTCGTCTGTGAGTCCAGGATGACGCTGTGACCTCAGACCACATGTTCAGGCTGTTGGAGGTTGTTTTTTCACCACGGTTCTGTCTCAGGAACAGGAAGTAGCGATGTTCCTGCCCTGAGTGTTTTCAGTACAAACTGGAAATGTGGATAAAAACACACCTGTCGTGTTTGAACTAAGAGTATCACAGCTATATAATGAAAATATAATCAGTGGTACTTAGTGAGTATTAATGTGTCGGAGTTGTTCATCTTCTCGTGTTCAGAGTTTGTGTCTTTGAGAATCCATGTTCCACCTGAACAGAGTCTGTGTCGTCAGGTGTCCATTCAGTCTTTCAGGAGCTGAACCGGAGGAGGTGATGTCAGGTTGGGTTTGTTAGGCTCTGAGCTGGTGTCAAGTTTTCTGTTGAAGCCTGATGTTGAACTGGGCGGAGCCTCGGCCTCCAGGTGTTTCCTCACAACAACCACAGTTTGAACAGGAGAGTTAAAGTTATACTTTGTGACTTTTCCACATTGAAATGTCTAAAAGCAACTTCTCTGTTCTACATGTTGTTGAGTTGCAGTCTTACATTATCACAAATGTTTCATGGTAACGATCCATTTCATTGGTCGCCTGTCAATGACATCATATCCTCTATGCACATGGGATGTATGTATGTGTGTATGTGTCGTATTTCTGGATCAGATTGAGATGAATTCAGTCACCATGGTGACAGGTTTAAGTGTTCTGAATTTGCTCCAGTTCTTCTGTTCCATGACTGCAGCAGCTGAGGCTCATGGGTATTGTAGTAACTGTAACCACAGCATCAACGTATAGTCTGATACGTAGACTCCAGATTGTTTAAATAAAATTTTGAAATGTCTCCACAGCTCTGAGTGCTGACAGACAAGATGGCCACCAGGAAGTCGGGGTGTTGTGGTCTCTCCACTCTGGAGGCCACGCTGGCCGTCCTGTTCATCCTCATGACGGGCGTGTCTGTGACACTGATCGCACTGATGGCTACCTGGAAAACACACACAGGTGACAACATACACATATACACACACACACACACACACACACACACACACACACACACACACACACACACACACACACACACACACACACAATAGATTTACATCCATTCAGCATTAGGAGGTGTTTTTAAAGATCTATGAGTCTTATTTTGAAAGTCCCGGCATTCAGCCTCAGGTAAGTGGAGTCAGGTATCCATAGAAACTAAAGGAATCAGCATCAGTATATAAACTAATGGATGACTTGATTAACGATCAGCAGGGAGGTGTAGAATTCAGATTTGTAAAGAGTCCAGACACTAATGTAATTTATGTTAAATTTAGAAATATGAAATATACATTTTTATTTTTATTTAAATATATGTAGAAATTATATATGAAACCTGTTAGAAGTTGGAACAATTTCATATATTGAACCTATACAGATATATACATTCATGTGTGTTGATATTATAAAAGTCTGAGACACTTTAAATTGACATGTTAACGTATATGTTGTTTTAATAAACTTGCTTGAATAATTAAAACATATAATGTTAACACATCTTTTTTTTTATAGAAAATGTTTTTTCATTTTTCTAATATATGTACATGTACAAATTTTACTGTGAGTATTTCATGTATGTTATAAACATATCACCTCATGGATCCAGAGGATGTTTATATGTGATAATAATATATCATCTTACAGGGACATTTATGTCATATATTACATTTCTGTAAAGGAGATAAAACAGGAGGAAGCAGCGGTACGCTCCTTTAAAATCAACAGTCGCCCATCTCTGTTCTCCTGTCAGGTCCAGAACCAACCGGTCCTCCTGGTCCAGAACCATCCAGTCCTCCTGGTCCAGAACCAACCGGTCCTCCCGGTCCAGAACCATCCGTTCCTCCTCAGCATAAACCGTACCTGATTGGAGTGGGCCGAGGCGACTGCACCGGGCCGCCTGCTGAAATCCCTCTGGTCAGAACCAAAACACTCACCACACACTGATGCTGCGTTCAAGGCCTCCTGCCACGTTAGGAAATCATGAGTCATGGTGCGTTCAAAAGGTCAACTATCCAAAAGTGGGCAAAGAGGAGGAGCGTGTGTGGAGCTGAGACTTCGGTGCTCGCTCACCTGTCACCCAAAGAGGCCACGCCCCCAGTTCTCCATAACTTTAGTCCTTAATAAAATGTAAACAGGTGAGTTATATAAACAGGTGTAATGAAGGAGGAAATTAGCTCTAAAGACCAAAACAGTTTTTGTACCAGGCTGTAAACATGTTGATTTCTGCTGTAAAGTTGGACACTTTAACATGGGAGTCTATGGGGACTGACTCACTGTTGGAGCCAGACTCTAGTGGTCATTAGAGGAACTGCAGGTCTCTGATTGAGACACCTGAATCACATGTTGATCTGATTTAGTGTGATGTCATTTCCTGATGTCTCCAGAATAAAGCTCCAGATAAACAGAGTCTGCAGAACTTCATAGAGAATCCTCCAGTTTCCAAGTTTCCTCCAGTTTTACAGTAAAACATCATGATACATGATACACATCAGCTGATCTCAGCTGATCTCAGCTGATCACAGCTGATCACAGCTGATCACAGCTGCTGTTAAAGGGACAGTTTGACTGAGTGGAAACAAATACAGGATAAAAAAAAAACCCTGTTGACCATCTGACAGGACTCTATCACCATGAATGTTTTCTCCTGAGACGATCTCACAGAGTGGTGTATCTGTGTGTATGTGTGTGTGTGTGTGTGTGTGTGTGTGTGTGTGTGTGTGTGTGCGTGTGGGTGTGCGTGTGTGTGCGTGTGTGTGTGTGTGTGTGTGGGTGTGCGTGTGTGTGTGTGCGTGCCTGTGTGTGTGTGTGTGTGTGTGCGTGCCTGTGCGTGTGTGCGTGTGTGTATTTAGATGGGTTACGCAAACCCTCAGCAGACGGCTGCAGGCATACACACTCGCCTGTACAGCCGAGCCTTCATCATCGACGACGGGAGGCAGAGAGTCGTGTTCGTCACTGCTGACGTGGGAATGATATCACAGAGGCTACGACTGGAGGTGGACACACACACACACACACACACGCACGCATGTGCATACACGCACACACACACACACGCACGCATGTGCATGCACGCACACACACACACACACACACACAGTTCATTCAATAGTACGTGAAGAACAGCAGAACATGCTGAAGTATCAATAAGTTTTATTATCACATATATCACAGTATATTATTGGATTAATATTATCAATGAGGCACCAGAAATTGAGTGTGTGTGTGTGTGTGTGTGTGTTCAGGTTCTGCAGGCGTTGCAGGTGAAGTATGGGGATCTGTACCGGCAGGATAACGTGGTTCTGAGTGGGACTCACACTCACTGTGGACCGGCCGGATATTTCCAGTACACTCTGTTCATGATCAGCAGTAAAGGCTACATCAAGGCGTCCATCGAGCCGCTGGTCAACGGCATCGTCAAGGTGTGTGTGTGTGTGTCATGAGACATGTGATGTCAGCTGATGTAGGTCACCTGCTCCGTACAGGTGATAAAAAGGGCCCCTGTGCTCTCTCTCTCCACCCTGCAGTATCTTCTTCTTTTGGTGTCCACAGCAGCCGACACACACACACACCTACACACCTACACACCTCCACCTGGCCGTCTCTGTGACCTTTGTGAATCCTGTTTCCAGAGTATAGACACGGCCCATCGTAACATGAAGCCAGGCCGAATCTACAGGAGCAGAGGAGAGCTGGGCGACAGCAGCCTGAACAGAAGTCCTCACTCCTACCTGAACAACCCCGAGGACGAGAGACACAGGTGAGAGAGACCTTTATTTATAAGTGATATATTTTGGACTTATTATTGATTATGAACTTAATCAGTGTTTGTTATTCCTCCCCACCGGCGACAGTCAGAGCGGCGGCCATTTTGTTCTCAGGTTGTCCGTCTCATTCTCATAGACACAATATCTCAGTAAAACCTCGACTGAACTTCTTCAAATTTGGAAAAAACGTTCACCTGGACTCAAGGATGAACTGATTAGAATTTGGTGACTAAAGGTCAAAGGTCAAGGTCAAGGTGACCTCACAAAGCACGGTTTTGTCCTTGTGAACGTGAGACACTCCTGAAGGGAATCTCTTCACATTTGGCACAAACGTCCACTTGGACTCAAAGACGAACCAATTAGATGTTGGGGGTCAAAGGTCAAAAGTCAACCTTAGTGTGACCTCACTTACTCACTTACATTATTCAAGACTTCACACACATGGTTCATATTTTCTGTGACTCTGGATAAACAGGACGTAACCTGGAACTAGTCTGAGTGGCGGAGGGATACAACCACAAATCTGTTTCCTCTGATTTATGAAAACATTATTGATTAGTTGTTATTGATCTCTTCAGGTACAAGTGGAATACAGACAAACAGGTGCTGGTGCTGAAGTTCACTGATCTGGACGGAGACGGGATCGGGATGCTCAGGTGAAGACACAGAACTGTCTGAAGATGATGATGATGATGGTGATGATGAAGATGAAGATGAGACTGGGTCTCTGAGCTAACACTCTATTATCCAGCTGTTAGCTTGGCTGCTAACAGCTGACTCCTGCTCTGTCCCTCCTCACAGCTGGTTCGCCGTCCACGCCGTCAGCATGAACTACACCAACCGCATGGTGAGCAGCGACAACATGGGCTACGCCTCCTACCTGCTGGAGCAGGACAAGAACCCTGGAGAGCTACCTGGACAGGTGACACGACTGCTCAGTACACATGTGTAACGCCATTAGTAAAGTCATTATAACGTCTAGTATGTGTGCGTGCGTGTGTGTGTATGTGTGCGTGTGTGTGCGTGCGTGTGTGTGTGCGCGTGCCTGTGTGTGTGTGCATGTGTGTGTGTGTGTGCGTGTGTGCGTATGTGTGTGCGCGTGTGGGTGTGGGTGTGCATGTGTGTGTGCATGTGTGTGTGTGTGTGTGTCAGGGAGGCTTTGTGGCTGGTTTCTCCTCCAGTAAC